GGAAAAATATATAATATTTTCATTTTTTATTAATATCTCTGAAATTATTGAAATATATTTACTCATGTCTTAGGATTATGTAAAGTGAACTGAAAGGAAGCCAAAAATGTAATAATATACAGGGTGTTTCATTTAAAAAAAAATATCCCGATCCACTTACACTTTTTGGGCCACCCTATAGAAGTTAAAATATTTTCCTGAAATACATCCTCGTACATAATTTAGGTTTGCACTTAAACAAAATTCCCAATTTTTTTATTCTAGGAGCTACAGATGCCCGACGCACTGTTGCCGGACCCTGTATAATTTCACGATCAGAATCATGTCTCATGAGCATTTTGTTATTTGGATTACGTCAATACATGCCTTGGTTAATTTTTAAGAGCGAAATGAACTTGCCACCAACAATTTGCAATTTTTTCAATTATCATTTCTTTTTGAAGTTATTTTTCAATATGCCAAGGCGGCTTTGGTGATTATTGTGAACCATATACTACTATGAACTGCCCATCATGTTCAACGTTTGGGAAATGCTCGGCAGGAGGGTTAGAGGTCGCGAAGCGGTACCAGCTTCATTAAATGAACTTATTCGTTTGGCCCTTAAAGAAGAATGAAAAAACATAACGCGATATATGCAGCCTCAATGACAGTATGAACAGACCTATAAAGGCAGTTAAAGCAGCCAAATGAGGCAATACAAAGTATTAGGGCATTTTTGCATTTTTTTCTGTTTGTATACTTGAGTATTACAGATGTTTTCTTTAATATCGTTAGTTCTGTTATCGTTATTGATGTTTATTAAAACTCGGGCTGTATCGTTAGTCTTTTATTTTTTTTTTAATTTAGTATAGAGTATCCAATGCAGCGTATTATGACGTTACGACAATAGTCACCAAAACCATGTCGTCATATTAAAAAATTACATCAAAAAGTAATAATAATTGAAAAAATTGCAAATTGACCATGAGCAGTTCATTTATTAACCAAAGCATGTATTGATATGAATAAAAAAAAACAGAATCCTCAGAAGTCATGGTTCTGACCGTAGAAGTATATTTTAGGAAAATTTGCACACGAAATTATTGCACAGGGTGTTTTAAACTAAGGGTAAAAAAAGAACCCCTCGATTAACCCTGTATAATTGCCAAATACTAAAGTTTATAAAGAACTGCGTTTACGAATTAAAATTGAGATACTTATTGTATACAACTTGCTAAAAAAAATCATGAAAATATGGTTAAAAATAACAAAAAAGATAACACTTTAAATTTGACCAAGAATTTTTCCGTTGCGTTTTTTTGCATCTGAGTGTATATTATTAAGACGTGTAATATCTAAAATTATGATAATGGTATGTACATATACAGTGCCTCAGATGAAATCCGCATGATATAGACATTTTTGAAGTTAAACTTATTTATGCGCGCTGGGAGTAAAAATTCAAGGTCGTGACCAGGGTTGGCATGATTTAAATCAAATGATTTTTTTAATTTTAATCATGTGATTTAAATCAAAAAATCAACTTTTTTAAAACTTTACAATAAATCGAAAGATAACTGTAAAAGTTATAAAAATGTGTCCTAGAAAACTATAAAAAATATTTCTATAACATATATATCCTATATCTATTCGTTAAATAAAATGTTACACTTACTATTGTAACGTTTAAATACGTTTAATAAATCGAAAAAAATTGTAAATGTTATAAAACTATATAAAAATGATTTGTATAACATATATACCTACTACATATCTATTTATCAATTAAAATGTTGGACCGATTTTTGAAGTAATTTCGTGTGAATCCATTATACTTCTAAAGGGCAGGAATTTATTTTGAAATTTATATACAAGTGACAAAAAAATGCTATTCGAATACATTTCATTCGCAACCTCTAGTGCAGAAAAAGGTTCTTTTGATGTTAGACTATATCTTCAAATCGTTGTCAGAAAATATGCTGTTTTATATCTTTGTATTTTACACTTTGACAATAGATAATACTAATTTCATTCTCGACTTAAGACTATTTCCGAATAATAGTGTATTGTGTAAGGAGTAAAAAATATACTTTTTTTGACGATGTTATCGTTTAGCGGACTAGCGTAAACAGGGAGGCACAAAAGTACATTTTTACTCCGAGCAGAATATACTATAGTTTTACAAATTAAACATTCCAAATAATTTTTTAATCAATTCCAAACGTTGCAAATAATATAAAAAGTAATGCCTTGTAAGTAATCGAGTAACAATTTATACACTGAAATTGACGTTTAATATCAGTTTAATAATATATTTTTGTACTTTTGTGCTTAGGCGAAAAAGTGCTTTACTTTTATGCCTAGGCGCTGAATTTACAAAAATTAATACATTTGCGGCATTTCAAAAAAAAACCTTTTGATCTGAAGCGAGCGACTTTTTTTGCAGAATATATTGGTGACCGATATCTGGGGAAATGCCACGCACCGTAGAATTGTTAATGTTGTTGGAATTAAGTCCTAATTATTTGGAAATCCGATTTAAATAATGTTTTCTATTAAAATCAAAAAAATCTGATTTAAATAAAAAAAATCTGATTTTTTTTATTTTTTTTTTAAAATCATGATTTTTTCCAACCCTGGTCGTGACACACAAGCTAACGAGACGAAAAGTGGAAAGGACAGCCTACGGCTTAGAAATACGTAGTGACGCGACGTATATTTGTGAGCAGTTCACGTTTTTATCAAAAGTATTGATATTTTAATTATTTATTTTACTCGTAGAAAACTATTTGTTACACGAATAAAATAATTGTATTTTACGCGATAAAACTATTTTACGCGTAAAAACTATGTGTTATACGTAAAAAACTATTTGTTACACGCAAAAAACTTCGTGTAAAAAACTATTTGTTACGCGTAAAAAATATTTGCTACAGGTAAAAAATATTTTTTAGGCGTAAAAAAATATTTTTTTTAATTTATTACTTTTTCAACATTTCAAACTAGACTTTTTAAACATGTCCTTCAAATGCTTCAATTTAATAGTGTTAGTAAGAACTTCAAATATACAGTAACACTTCAAATATGCGCACGTGGTGTACCTACAATTTTTTTATACAGGGTGGTTCAAAAAACATATGCCATCTTTCGTGGCGAGATTCCTCACATAAAAATAAGATTTTTTTTTCGTATCAACATAGGTCCGATTCTGCTTTGTTTCGTAGCTACGCAGGATGTTAAAGTCTTAATAATCTTTCAAATTATTATAATTTTCTTCCAAGTACTTTTAGCGATTCGAATGATTTTTGAGGGTAAAAGTTACTATAAGGGCTACATTTTTTAATGCTAAAAAAGTATCGATAAATTCATCAGGGACGTGCATATGGGTTATCACTGGAATATTAAAAAAAATATGTACGCCATTGACTTTTTTCTTTTGATATCAAAATTGTCTAGGTCTTATGCCAATTAAAACTTATCTCTTGATATTTTGTCGAATTCGGCCTCCTTGATGAGATAAACGCAATTTTATCAAATCACAATTAACAAAATTAAAATAAAACTAATAAATTATATATTTTACCTAATTTATTACTAATATGTATTATTATTATTAGTCTAACCTAAAGTAATTTCAAATAAAAAAATTACGGTATTTAAGATAATTAAAAAAAACTAATTTTAAAAAGTTTTAACATCCTTTAAACCTGTAAAACTTTCACAAGTTAAAGATACATATTAAATTTCTTTAAAGGTTGCTATTAAAATTAAAAAAATATCGTTTATCTTATCGGCCAAAATCGACAAAATATCAAGAGACAACTTTTAATCGCCATTAAACGGTTTACACCTCGGTTTACACTATTTCTCTAAGAAAAAAATCAGTGGCGTACCTACATGTTTTTTCTTTAGAAAAATATTCCAGTGATAACCCATATGCACGTCCCTCGATATCGACACTTTTTTAGCTTTAAAATATGTCGCGTTTATAGTTTTTTTTTCCTAAAAATTTCATCCGAAACGCTAAAATACTTCTAAGAAAATTATACTAAATCGAAAAAATATTAAGATTTTAACACCCTGTAGCTCCGAAATAAAGCAGAATCGGACCTATGTTGATATGAAAAATAAATCTTATTTTTATGTGAGAAATCTCCCCACCAGAGATGGCACATGTTTTTTTAAACACCCTGTATATTATTTCTTCTACAATTATTGATTATATTTGGAGGTATATTAGCTTAGATGAAATTTGACTTTGGAAATTGCTTTTGCTTTAAATTGGATTAAAAATGACATAATAAAATTTAATCAGTTGCCTTCGGGTATTTTTTCAAATTTAACATTTAAAAAAATAGAAATGGGTTAAAAATGGGTTTATTTACCGAATTTTAAAAAATTATTTGAAAATTTTTACATAATTATATCAAATCGGTGTACTTGGTAGTTATAAATATTTATAATCAAGGAAGTTAAGAAAATTTATTTAGTATTGTCAAAAGCCTTTTTGACTACAGATAGACTGTGTAGTAGGTACTTAGGTTAGTATCTTAATTAAATATACATATTCGTCCTAAAAAATTAAAATAAAACAAACCAAATTAAAATTTAAAATATCATAACTTAAATCAGCTTTTGGCAAAAGGATAATTTTAAAGAATATTTTGCCCTACTTTAAAATTTGAACGTAGGTACCTAAATTTTTCAAAAATCTATTTCTTTAAGAAACATAATAAGTAAGTAGTCTTTAATATTTAAATTATTAAAAAATATATTCTAGGATCTAAAAAATAGGTAGCCACTACATTCGAATGAAAAATTCATATTTTACATGCCATTATTTTTAAGAACGCAAATCCTAATTCGGTCAAAATAGTTACTAATCTATGAATTCACTTTGCTGAAAACAGCGTCACACAAACCACACAACGAATAATTCACTGTATCACAATTAACCTTTATTAGGTTATAATTTTATCAATTACATGTATTAAACAAACACTTTTTAACTAGTACCGTACCCTAACTTCATCTTTCACCCTAAGAAACGGAGAAATACCAAACGTGTTCCGGGAGAATGCTATCAACTGCACCCCACTCAGGTACTTGACGTTGTCACTTGGCATGCTGATTTTCTGCTAGTGCTATTTGAGTGAGTGCGATAACGGACTGCCTTTGATTTTTTTCTCATATTTGCTTTTATACCGCTCCATTATAAAAAGTTGACACGCGTTAATCTGCGCTTTATATTTAATAATAAAATATAAGATTTTTTTGTCGATGTGACGCCAGTGGGCTTTGAAATATATGTTACGTTTCAACTTTTGAATAAACGCGCAAACGTCATTTCATAAATTTCTCTAAAAATGCGCGCCGGTAGAGTCGAGTGGAATATGGAGAGGGTTGACCGATACACGATGGTCAAGACTTTTTATATATAGGTATAAATAACTCAAAATTGCGATGACGGTGGTGCAAAGTGCGTTAAGAAGTAATAATTAACATATAATTACTATTGTCTTTTAAATCTTACTATAATAATAATAACGCGCATATACCATATGGCTATGAAATGAAGATCGCTGTCATTTTTTCTATTATTCATTTTGTCAAAAACGAAGAAGTTAGTTCTTTTATTTTACGATGACTTCTAGATATATGGATTTTCTACCGTATGATTGAAAAAAGGCGTCAGCGATGGATATGAAATGAAGATTGCTTTCATTTTATATGTAAACTAAAAATGTCATCGATCGTCATTTCCAAGCCATCTGGACCGCCGTTAAAAATACGTCTATAAACTGTAAATACATCTATAATTATGACAATAATTTAATCCTAAAGGATTAAATCCATACAGTATTAAAAATTGTCTGCATTATATTGTTTTTTTAGTAATTACAAATGAGATATTTAGTTGAAATAACTATTGTATGTTAAACTAAATTAAATGTTGACCCGCAAAGTTATACAGGGTGACACGAAATTGATAGTGAACTTTGGTCATTTTTAAAAGCATGTTACTTCTTTATTTTATATTTGCATAACATTTTCAACATTGTATGGTTTGGTTTTGTACGATTTAAGATTACAATATTTATAGGAAAGTAAATACAGACCAACCATAGTAAATGCCTAGTACAGTATTGATTTCAGGATATTTTTTGTATTTTTAATATTTTTTTTAAATAGGCTGAAAAAAAAAATTTATTTATTAATATGTATTTCTGAAACTATCAAAACATATTTAATAATATCTTAGGAATATATAAAGTGTACAGTAATGCAGTAATATACAGTATTTATAAAAATCATCCCGAACCACTCACACTATTTTGAGTCACCCTGTAGAAGGTAAAATATTTTCCTGAAGTACATCCTAATACATACTTTAGGTATGCACTTAAACAAAAATCCTAAGTTTTTTATTATAGGAGCTACAGATGCCCGACGCACTATACCGGGTGCGTCTCAAACGTGGCTCACCCCTATAACTTTTTATTTTTTCAAATAAAAAATCGAGATTTGGTATGTTAGTATGTGACATAAATTAGGATTGATTGATGTATTCAATTGCTTTTGGTCACTTCCTGTTTCACCGGAAATGACTAGAACATTTGATTTTTAAATGGCATCCTCCGTATTTTGTTACTTTATTCGATAGAAAATGACATTCTGAATAGATTGACATATCATATGTCAACTTTTGACATTTTCGAATATGGTTTATTTGAAATTGCGACATGCGATTCGTAACGACAATTTGACTCGAAATACCAAGGTGTGGGACCAAATTATTCGTAGAAAAATGCCTTTTCTAAATATGCTAATGGGACACCCTCGTCCCGTTTGAAAAAATTGAGATATGGTTAAAAATACGATTAGGGCATCTTTTATCCGGCCAGGACAAGACACTAGAAACATTAGACGATCAAATTTAATTTTCCAAGGCTCCCTGATTAACAATGAGCGTTTTTAACACAGCCACTGCACTAGATTTGAGGGGCGTTTTCACCCTCTTGGAATTTGAGATTCGAGAAACCTCTACTTATCAAACCTCCACACCCCACAGTCAATCCGTTTGCCAAAAATCAGCTTTAGACGTCAAGCAGTTTAAGCAGAATCGTGATTAGTCAATGGTCATATTTTATGAAACACCCTGTATAAATTTATAAAAAATCTTAAAATGTGTAAAACAACAAAATAAAATATACGTGTTTAAGAGTTTTTCCGAAAAGCTCACCGGTTTTTAAACAAAAAATATTTTAGTATTTGAGGGATAGTTTCACCCCCTAAGAATACGAGTTTCGAAAAATCCCTTCTTATCGAACCTCTACACCCTAAAGTCAATCGGTTTTCCAAAAATCAGCTTTTTACGTCAAGCGCTTTAAGCAGGATCGTGATTAATCAATGACCAGATTTTTCGAAACACCCTGTATACATTTTTAAAAAATCTTAAAATATGTAAAAAAGCAAAATAAAATATACGTGTTTAAGCGTTTTTTCGGAAACTTGACCGTTTTTTAAATAAAAAATATTGTAATATTTGAGGGGTTTTTCACCCTCTTGGAACTGGAATTTCGAAAAATCCCTTCTTATCGAACCTCTATACTCTAGAATCAATCTGTTTGCCAAAATTGAGCTTCTTACATTGAGTGGTTTGAGCAGGATCGTGATTAATCAGTATGTCAGTCACTTAAGGATTTTATATATTAGTATAGATACCAAATCTAGTGTTTTTAACTGAAAAAATATAAAAGTTATAGGGGTGAGCCACTTTTGAGATGCACCCGGTATAAATAAATAAATGACCTGATAAAGTCATGACAAAAACGATAAAAAATGAAACAAATGTAAAATTAAAAATAGCAAAAATTCAGTAATTGCCTATTAAAAAATACTTTTTCATGATTATTATCTAATATATATTTTTTTAAATTTTTGAAATATAATTGGAGTGCCAAACCACTTAAGACACTTAAATTGGATATATAAGTATCAAAAAATTCAAGAGTTTTATTTTTATCGAATACCTTATATTTTTTTGACTAGCGGTGTCTTGTTTTTGTCTACTCTAATAACGGATTTCATAGTTTATAACGCTCGACGCGACAATCTAAACGATTTGCAATAAAGTAGAAAAACCTTTCCGACCGCCAAAAATATAGATTTTCGGCTGAATATAATTAGAAATTTCCACTATTTTTACTTCATTTTTACTCCAAATATAACAGCAACTATTTCTGTTCTATTATTAATCTGTGAATGTGATTATTTTTACTTAATTACCTAAATAAATCGTCGTGAAATATGTGACTCGTTTTCAAGACTAAATTCCAACAGTTAGTTAACAATAATTAATTTTATTTATTTTTGTTTTGTAATAACCAGGAATTTTGACGCTTTTAGAAAAAAATACGAAGACCATATTAAATACATCTGCCCAGTAAAATAAACTTAGAAAAATTTAATATTGGACAGATAAATTTAATAAGTTCTTCCATCCAATTATCTAATTAAGGAATAGAGGTTGAAAAGTCTGTCTAGGTGTTTGGTTTGGCTTGAAGATTCTACACACAGATTTGTCCTATCTCTCTTAGTTTCCAAAATACTTTTTTTTATTTTCGACCTTCTTCGTATCTTGGATATCTTCTATGGATATCTTATAACTTATCAAAAAGGTGAACACACTAAATTCCGTAGTTTTTTACGCAGAAACCAGTGGCACAACTATTTTTTTGCTAGGAGCTGTCATGTTTTTCAATTAAAAGCTAAAAAAAATCAAATTTTGATTTTTTTTTCGCTCAAAAAATCATAATCGTGTTTCTGGGGTAGAAATATACTACCCCTAAAAATATTTGCACTTATGTAAGACTCTGAATAGTTTAGAAAAATATTATGATTTAATTTAATTTAATTTTTAACTAAATAATTTTGCTTTCCCTCGTGGCTGTCTTAATAAACTGCACTTAAAATGAATTTGCGCTTTTACATCACACGTTGTCAATCAGAAACATTAATATTTTTGATGCACACACAGAAACTATACTCTGTTTTTTTTCTCAGGTAAGATTTCGACAGACGATACCAATCTATTTATTTTACTATAAAAAGTTTCTAATAGTTTTTAGTTATCTATGGATGGGTTTAAATATAAATCCGTCATGCGTCATGTCTTGTTGTTTTTAACCAGTTTTATTGGTTTATTTAAAAAATGACAGATCGTATTTCAATTTTATTGGTTTGACGGAACGATGAACGATAAACGGACGCCGATGCGTATGAACTCGCCTTTAGATTTTTGTCATTTTTGACGCTTGTCAAAGTCTTGCCAAATTATAGGTTATAATTTTGTGTCAACTTTTGTTAAATACCCTGCGTTTTGGAAGATGATGTGTATTGTGTCTTTTGAAGTCAAGTGGAGAAAAAATCGAGTGAAAATTAACTGTAGACCCAGAGCACAGTTTATGGTTAATACTCGCTGCCCAGGCAGAAAGTCTTATACACCCCATCGTTAAAGTTTGTATACCATCTCGTCGTAGATAAGTGCATCTCGTATATGGTAGAAGGATCAAACTAAACACATACTAAAAACTGGAGTAGCTGTAAAATATCGACATCACACGATAGGTAAATAATGGATTTTAGTACTGCAGAAAAATAATGTCAAGAGGTACTGGTTTAAAAAAATTAAGATTAAAGTTAATTAATCAACCTTTAAGGTATAAAAGTTGGTAGGTGTTATTATTAATAAAATAGTTTGTTTTATTTACCTATGTTGTTTTATTTATTCCTGTGGAATATTACAAATTTGTATTTGTACATAAGTTATATTGATAAATATAATCATAAATGCGGGTAGTTTCATAAAGCTTGAAAGTAAAAAATAGTTCTTTTTATTTTTTTTTTGGTATGTAGTGTCTTTTTTCTTGTTTGTTTTGTATTAACACACATACCGGTTTTATTAAATAAAATAACTCGATTACATTTTTTCAGTTTTATACAGTTTTTTCACAATATTTTGAAGTAATCACTTGTCATCTTGTCAATCAAATTTTAAATATTTCCTGCTATGCGTTCCAGTTGTACCAACTTATTTCTTTGTAAAATAAAATAAACTACTTTGAAATTAAAATGACAGACACATCTATCACTGTCAAGGATCTTCTCGTTGGACAGAC